CTTTCAGTCGTCGATCATTCAGTACCACTTTGTGAATTTTTTTCACCGTTCCTGAAGTCGTCACCTCATTTGGCAGCTGGTACGGCTTCGTTCAAACACTGCTACCTAATATTTTTCTGTTGTAAACGAAGCAGCAGACTCATCCAGAGTAATATGCAGTTCAGCTTTCATATTGGTTAGACTGAGGCCTTTCAGATGAAAATATTGTACCACATAACGTCCGTAATGAAATACATCATGGAAAATATTCTACCACCGCTTGAACTTCTCTACATATGAGGAAACAGGATCAGCTCATCATCTTCCAACGTTCAAACTATTTGACAACCCATTCAACTTCGATCATGTAAGCCGTGTAGGCACACATCGAAGTTGTCAAAAGAATCCCAACATCATTCAATATCGGCTACATCTAATCATCTATCAAAGTTTTATGCAAACTTTTGGTAAAAGCTCTGCACAAAACTTTCTGAGATTAGGTATATAGATCGACTAATAGCTGAAAGCGGGACTTCTCGTACACCTGTCGATAATAATAACCCGAAACGATGTGACTCATCATAAGTTTGAAAGTTTGTCCGCGTAGTTGGTGAGATAGTTTCAAAATAAGTTTCACTAATATAATTACTCAGTTATCAACGTAGATTTTGAACATGTCGTGAAAATATCAATTCATATATACTAATCTCAAACATTAAATAAGTCTGTTTATATTTAACCGGTAACTTTTCACTTTCAGTCATATGTTTTCAATTATTAATTTCCTACTAGCTTTTGTAAAAATTGACCTATTATTGAAACTTTTGTCGGTGTCTATAGTTTCAGAGTCTATGACAACACCCAAAAGTATGTTGTCCTAACAATTTGAAGTGATTCTTCAATAAATCATTCAGTCATTCAGAGTTGAGTTTTCAAACTGAATAGATGAAAATTGATGGATGTGTCAAATTTTATGATAAACTCAATGGTGAAAACCACATATCGATATCTATCATCGTTTCTCGGCTACAGGATGTTTTTCGAAAATGTGCATTTTCAAAAATTTGCTGTAGTTTTATTTCTGTTCTATGAAAACATTTCGAAGGCACTATTTTACTCAGAATTCAATGGTGTGAAAAACTTAGTTTTTCAAATAAAATACCAATAGTTATAGATGGAAAACTATTTTTTTACTAAGACATCCTGTATATTCCTGCATATTTCAGTGGGGCTCAAAATTACGTTTCCAAAAATTTAGCAATTGAAGTTTTGCCAGAGTCATCTTTGAAATACAGAGCTTTTAGGTTTTTTCATATATAGACTTTGAAACGCACACTTTGATCAAGTAGGCTTTGCACGATGCGGCGATGAAACAGAATGCAAATCTTTACTGGTAGCTGTCAAATTTTTATTAAAGTAGTAAAGACACTCTTCAATTAGTGGTTTCTGTTTAATTTTCAAACACATTCGCAATGAAGTATGAGAATTATTAAAAATGGGATATGATAGTCTGTTTTATACCAGCTGGGGAAAATGTAGAAGCAGCAAACAGTTTGTATAACGAGAGGTATCCAGATAGAAGATAACCTTTCAGAGACATTTTCACATGATAGCAACATGAACTAATTGAACTAATTGATGCTGATCAATATCTGAAAAAAGGACAAAATTATATGAATCAAATAGGGATGAGGAATTGGAAGAAATAGTCGTTTCAGGAGCTGTTGGAAATAATCCCATACTTTCAAGGCGAAATTCGAAAATATCAACAGGCCTACCAAGAACTAACGTTAGGAGGATTTTGGAAAAACACAAATTCAAGCCATACAGGACCTGAAGACTTCAACTCAGACCAGGAGATTTTGAACACCGCAAGGCTTTTTGCCAGTGATTCCAAGAAAGTTGTAACCAAGTACGTGATTTTTCAATAAATTTTATTTGGACAGACGAAGCTTATGTGAGCAGTGCCGGCATGATTAATCGCAACAATTCTTATACTTGGGTGCAAAAAAATGTCCGCTTCTATTGTGGAGCAGAGAAGTCAATGAAGATTTGGATGTTGGCACTCTCAAATCTCCAAGGTATTTGGAAATTTTAGAAAAAATCATTGAACCCCTTATTGATGAATTGCCACTAATGGAGCTCAGAAAAATATATTTTCAACAAAACGGGGCTTCGCCTCATAACACTGTAATTTTAACCAGTTTTTTTGCCTGAAAATTTTGGTAGAAATTGGATAGCCGACCAAGGACCCAACCGTTGGCCGGCCAGGTCACCGGACCTAACGCCTATGAACTTTCATCTCTGGAGAAGGTTGAAAGAACTTATTTTGGAATGGCCTACCAAATCTATATACGAATTGGAAGCGGTAGTGATGCAGTCTTTCTTCTCTCACTCTTATTGAACCAATTCAGAAAAGGTGTTGCCTGTGTGTGAGAGAAGCTGGTTGACATTTCGAACACCTTCTCTGAAAAATATATTTCATTGTTTGTTCTTTATAATTATTTGTATTATTGTTTCATTTATTAGTAGCACATATAAGTATTATATGTTCAATTGAAACTATGCGTTTTAATTACTGCTGTGAAAAGCTTTTTCAACAGTTAATAGCTACTACTGAATATTTTCTTTCTGTTTTATCGCCGCGTCGCGTCGTCCAAAGCCTACTCGATCAAAGTGTGCGTTTCAAAGTCTACATAAAAAAACGTAAAAGCTTTGTATTTTAAAGATGAGTCTAGCAAACATCTACATTTTTGGAAAGGAAATTTTAAGCTCTATTGAAATATGCATACGGGGTGTCTCATTAAAAAATAGTGTCATATCAATAACTATTAATATCTTTATTGTACAGTTTGAAATTATGTATTTGTATAGTTGACTAATTGAAATGTTAAGATTACTTCGAAGTTTGAGAAATACATTGATTATAACAAAAAAAATTGTGAATTGACAATTGAATATAACCGACTGAGGAATATTTATAAGGTTCAATCGGTACTCTTCTTATTAAATAAATAAAGTGAGTTTTCAGTAAGTTCTTTAATTGTATTAGTACCTACTTGTTCTTTACATTGTGCATTTTCGAAAAGTTCTGTAACCTTTTTCCTGCCAATAATTTCTTGTCCCTATGAAAACATTTCTAAAGCACTTTTTTACGCAGAATGGTGTAAAAACTTATAGTTCCGAATGACATATCAATAGTTATTGATGGAAAACTATTTTTTCAAGAAACATCCTGTATATTTCTGCATATTTCAATATAGCGAAAAGTTACCTTTCCAAGAATGTTTTGCTAGAGTCATTTTTGAAACACAGACCATTCAGGAAGAAGCTGATGGACATTTCGAACACCTTCTCTACCGAAATATATTTTATTGTTCTCAATCATTATTATTATTATTGTGGAAGTTTCATTTGTTAGTAATGAATATAGTATAAATTGTTATTGATTTTATTGAAACTATGCGTTTTAATTACTACTGTGAAAAGTCACTACTGAACAATTTTTTTCTGTTCCATCGCCGCGTCGCGTCGTCCAAAACCTTTTTGATCAAAGTGTGCGTTTCAAAGTCTACATGAAAATAACTAAAAGCTCTCCATTTCTAAGATGACTTAGGCAAAACATCAAGTGTGCAACATTTCTGGAAATGTAATTTTATGCTCTATTGAAACATGCAGGAATATACAGGGTGTCTCATTAAAAATAGTTATCCATCAATAACTATTGATATCTCATTGGAAAAAATTAGTTTTTTAGACTATTGAATTCTACGTAAAAAAGTGTTTCGGGAATGTTTTCATAGAAACAAAAAAAATTTGACAGACAAAAATTTACATCAACTTTTTGAAAATGCACATTTTCGAAAAACATGCTGAAACCCAGAAACGATGATAGATATCGATATGCGATTTTCATTATCAAGTTTGTCATACAATTTGACCTTCAGAGGAAGTGAAGGTATGTGAAGCTATATACAGAAGTTATAGAAAATATAAAATTCTGCAACTTTTTCATGAACCCTTTTCGACATGATCTAAAATTTTCCGAAAAAATACCTTAATTTTAGCGTAAACTACGCATGTGCTAAAAACACTTTTCGCAAAATTACCATCGGTTTTTTGTTGAAATTTGTTGTCTTAGATGGGTGAAAAAGATGGAAAATTGTATCGAAAAATGTGAATTTCAAAAAAAAATATTTCAAATCACATTTTTTACATTTTCTGGTTCGTCATATTGGCGAGCACGAGAAAAACCAGCGAATCAGGAAGAGCGGAGCATGTGTATACTTGCTTACATAACATAAAGTGATCCAAAGCTACGATCAGAGAAACGTTGGTTCAAGAGAAAGTTCAAAGACGCTGCTCACATGTTGAATGATGACGTTTTAGGGTGGGGTAGTGTGGTGCACACTATTCATCGAGTTGGAAAACGTTCTGCGATCGGAAAATCGAAGAAAAGAAGAGGTGAGAGGAAAACAGTTGAAGCGCTCAAATGACCTCTAAATAGTCTCGCATGTCAGGAATAGGACAGTTATAAATCATCCGAAGATAATTGTGGATAGTTACTTGTGACTTTTCATTTGTTAGCTTGTTTGTTAATTCATTTGGATTTCAGTTCGCATTTCAGTAACATTTTTTTACTTCACAACTTAGCGTTCTTTCGTTTTTGTGAAGTTTTCATTGCAAATTTTTTTATTCCAACTAACTCAACCAAGGTCCGGTAGTTTTCTGTATTTTCAAGAATTTGAAACCTTTCATTTATATTTCATTTGTTCCTTCATATATTTTTAATCTGTTAACATTATTTGCATATTACTTATCTTCTTATATGTTTTTGGATTACTGAAATCTGAAACGAAATGGGTGACATTTCTACGCCTTTGTATTGTTCATGTATTCTCGAGTTAGGCCAGTTAGCAAATTTAATAGTATTCACATATTCCGTGCATCATTCTGCGTAACTATATCAGAACATCCGAGTCGTACAAACAACCTCGTAACCGTAATTTTTCCTTTTGCAGTTGCGACGGAAAATGAAGTTAGGGCATACATGGGTGATTCCGTGGCCTTACCCTGCAGGGTGGACACGAAACAGTGCGGTCAGCTCCACAGCGTGAAGTGGTACAAGGACGCCAACCGAGTGTACGTCCTGAGCCACGCCGGCCAGGGTCGGGCGGAAGGAGACGCTACGGAAAGGTGAGTTTCCCAATTAGCTTCAGTATTGATTGAATATGGAAATATTTAAAGGACCTTTTCGTTAGATTACAGCTCTAGGTTTCATCCTCAACTTCCGGACGGGTGTGATTATGTAGTTGCATTCAAATCACCCCTTTTGAATGTTTCCAATCAGTGGCATCAGCCGTTTCAAGTTCATTTCATATTTTGAAAAGATTTCAATATAAAATGCTTCATCTCAGTTAATTAGGTCGACATTTTGCCTTAATTCTAGACACTGTTTAGAATCTTTGGTGTAGTAATGAATATTACTAGAGTTCTATCCTAACCCAAACCATTATTTTCAATACCTCAACACGTGTTTCAAGCACCAAGTGATCATCTTCAAGAGGAAGAGTTTAATCTTTCTTTCATTTGGAAATGTAATCAGAATCACGTTCAAATATGTAATAAAAAGCGTGTTTCGTTTCGTGTTAATGTTTCTACTCAATATAATAATTAAATTTTGTTAATTCCGATAAAAAATATTCAATGTATTAGAATAACGATATCGTGTGAGAAAGGTTATGGCTTTAGGTATACAAGAAATGTGAAACACTTTTTATGTTTTTTGTATGAATATAGAGAAGCAGAAAGTCGAAATCTTTCTTTCCCAAATTATACCCGTTTCAATATCAACGTGTTTTCCCTATACTAAATCCTTTCCAAAGGCGTATTCAATTTCAGTTGTTACCAGAGGTTGGAGTGAAAAGTGTCAAGGAAGGAGGAATGAGGTGTAAAGGTGACCTAATGAATAAATGCTTATGTTATTAAATAGTTTATCTTGTAAAAAAGAAAGCTGAAAAGTTGCCCTTTTCTGAACTTTGAAGGGCCGTAACATTGTAAATAAGGGAGAGCGCCGCTTTTTTCTTTCGGATTCGTAATCTACGCATAAAAATACGTAATTAACCACAAACATCATTTGAAAATCGCCAGGTGCCTCACAATGAATATTTACCAAAAAATAGGACCAAAGAACATTTTCTCAGAGATTCATGACATTTATGTCCCCAGTTCTTGAATGTGTTGTATTTGATAGAATCAGTGATTTCTGAGGGTGTGAATATTAAACGTGACCGTATCTCCGGAAGAATGATGTACATATTGATTTTCATGAACACTCCACGGTCTTATTCACCTGTAATTTTTTTAAAATTTCATGAATAATCAGTTTGACCACAGCAAATGACAATTATTGTGACAGTCGTCAATATATTTTCATTAAATCATGGATTCACGAAAATGACCCAATCGCCGCTCTCGTACCGTGCCGTATTATAGTGATCACAGCGGACGAAAAGAGCTTGAAGAAGAGAAAGTTTGGGAACGAAGAGTGTTTGTGGATGAAAAATAGGTACTTGCCTTGAAAATAGTCCCTTTTCTGTTCAGAAATAAGTAGGTGAAATGCAATTTTTGTAAAGGTCAATGAAAAAATTGTTTTCGAGTGTCTGAACGTTTGCTTGTGCCTTTATAGTTCCATTATTCGAATTCATTTTTAAAGCCGTAGTTATAAAGTGATTAACCACCCACAGAATTTGTCCTCTCTCTCACCTGGGCTGAAAAGTTTTCGGGCCTGAGGAAGAAAACGTGTTTTTTGAGGTCTGCGAACAGTCAGTAGCCGCTGAAAGTCAAATCTGGCAAATACTGTGGATGTGGGAGCAATTCTGAGTCCTCCAGTGTCATTGCTTTTCGAGTTTGAAAGCCATGGATATTTGGATTTCGGAAGAAATTGCAATGACACTAAAAACCGCAGCCGTGAAAGTCTAAACCATTCGAAGTCCAACTCAAGTAGTTTTGCCATTGTTTTGATTGACCTGTGACATGGTGCGGTGTTTCAATGAAACAAAATTTTTTTCTTTGCCTCATGCGATCTATTCTTTGCAATTCCGACTTTGAAATGCTGAAATAACGCTATATAATATTCACTGATGATGGTATTTTCCTTCTCAAGATAGTCAATGAATATTACATCACGCATATCCCAAAATACCGAGGCCATAACCTTTTCAGCCAATTGTTGTGCTTTTGGGCGCTTTGGACGAAATTCAGCAAACCATCGTTTAATTGTTGTTTCTGATGGACTGGAATCCTCATAACACTTTTCAAGCAGTATGAAATTGAAACACGAAATCGTTTTTGATCTATTGTTTTGGAAATAACAGAAGAAGTGTCACTCTTAGCACAATAACTCACAAACTTATTATATAATGACATTTCAACATATTTCTTATGGGGGTTAGTACTAACTGAAAAAGTAGTGAATGCCTTCTATGTGTTAGTTCCGAGACTTTTTAGCCCATGTAGTATAAGTTTATATACAAAGATATAGTTATTTGTTACTTATGATGTGACAGTGAGGTAACGACCAGTCCAACTCTTTCGATAATACGCTGTCAAAAACTATAATCTGGCATCAATGATTGTACAAGAAGACGAATGATTGTGTTTTTCATGAAAGTTAACTGTTGAGTGGAATGAAAGTTGTTCAATAAAAGTTTCTTCTATTGTTGTTGTTGCCATCGACCAGCTTGTGTTGGTGGTGGAATTGTAGACTTAGTAGAATTACAGTCAACCCCTCTCTGATAGTGCAGTACTTCAATTTCGGTTATTTGTAATGAACATTTGTAATTTATCTTCAAGTTGCAAGGTTGAAGGTCGTAAAAGTTAACTCCGCGAAACCTTATCCAATTTTTAGATTTCAAAATGGGAAATTTTGAATGCATTTGCTGGCCCGTATTGACGAATCAATTGCTTTAGTCAGTACTGAAAAATGTTCTTGATCGCAATGCAAAAACATTTCAAGTATGAAGAAAAACTCTACAATTGAAAACAGGAGATTCAGAGGTATCCAGAGCAAGAAAGAATTATACTCTCCACCATGCTCAGGCTCCATGTTACGTTAAATGGTACTCAGTAATAGAATTCTTGAACTTGTTAATACAGCAATTATATACAGTCTAGTAACGTGTCTCGAAGAATTTTGAGTTTGCTTGGAGTGGGAAATTTCAATTAGGATTATCTGTATATTTTTAGTTCGTTGTCAATCCTATGATTAAAGGTATACTCCACGTTAAAACGCGTAATATATACTGCATTTCCATTATTGTTATTTTACTCAAATGTTTTCGTTTTGTTCTATTTATTCAACGGTAATTTGAATAAAAAAGTGATAAAATACACTATTCATTGCGATATTGATCATTACCGATTTCAGTAATTTTTTTCTTCGCCAAACGTTGTAATCTCACTTCACTTGAAGCCTTTGAAGTCTTGTAAACATGAAGTGTTTTCCATATTCGTTTCGAGAGGAAAATACATATATTCGTTTCCTTCATAGCAAACAGGCATTAGGCAGTTTTCTTACACTTTGTGAGCTGTATACACAAAGGGAATATTGTTTCGTATACGAAGCTCTAGAGGATCGTAGGATGCACGTGTGTACCTTTATTTGAATAGACACGGACGATATATTATGTGAACTCACGATAGTGATGAAAACACTCTGTCGTTTTTTTTTTTGGAAAAGTATTTCGTGAAAATGCAGTGAGTATATCATTTGGAGGAAAGGTTATCAATATTGAAGGAAAACTGAAAAATTCACATGAGCAAGTGCAAAGACATGGTAGACAGTGATGTGATGAGCATGAAAAAGTACGTTGAAAAAGAAAATATATTCATAAATGTTCATATAGACTGGAGTGGGTTCGAGTTGTATATTTTCATTATCTACATAAAATAGTGACTTTGATATGAGAGAAAAGGAATTTATAAAATGACACTTCTTGATTGATATTTGAAACTGAAAAGGAAAATTCGCCAAGTTTTTGAATTTCAAGCAGGCCATCCGCAGAAGGTTCACATACCAGAACCGTATCACTTTTCTCAATGAGCATTAATTCCAATTGGCGTAATCAGGAGATGATCCAAACTACTTGTTGGGCTCTGAACGAACCAATTCCATATCAAAGTTTCATCGGAAGTTAATTTAGAACCATTTCCTCGCAGAAAAGTGGTTGAAGCTTCCTCATTTCTGCGAGCAAACTTCACTTAATTTTATGATACACTAATGACGGTTTTCGATGTTGGGAATCAATATATGAGAAATTATAATTGTTATAGCTTCATCAATTTCAATTTGACTATTATTTTTTCACCATTAAAATCGATCAGATTACCATCATCATCCAATATGCGTAGAGGCAATGTGAGTTTCATCGTTGCTAAACACATCGGCATTGATCTCCAAAACTTCAGCAAAGGTGTTTCCATGGTTGAGATGGATGCGATATTTCGACCACGTTTCGCTAAATCTCAAAGCTGCTGGTCTGCCATGTGCCTTGCTGGCCGCATAGTCGTCTGGATTCTGTGAGTGTGCAATGTCTGCATTTAACACGCGAATGTCAACTGACTGATTTCTGTAATTTTGAACCAGATCCACAATACCGATAATGGCTATTGCGACGGCAGATCCGACTGCGCATAGTGAACTTTCTCAGGGAAATGGACATCGTCTTTCAATACATAATCCTTGGGACCATCATCTGGAACGTCCATGATGTCTAGTTGAAGAATTTTCCGTTCAGATAACCATGAAAACCCACCTGTCGGTAATGGTTGGACATAGAGGTTGGTAGCGTCCAAATAAGTGATGAATGATTATACTTTTTCATCGTAATGTTACATAAAATGATTATTGGCCAGATGATCCTTTCAGAACACTGACTGATACCTCTATATATATCCTTTTGGAAAAATTATCATATAAATATCCGTGAGCAATTCCAGTTCTACACCAATATATTTGAGCATGGCATGTCAACGATGACCGTGAGAGGTGAAATAGTGAGCTGCATCTGATTTATATCTATTCAGACAAACATTATGGAAATTTGAACAAGGACCATACACGTTTTTGCCCTCGAATCATTGTCAGATATATGTTTCTAATTCAATTGTTCATAAAATATTATTTTGATGGTAGCTCAGTACAATTCAATCTGGCCAAATCATCAACAAACCTGTATGGGAAAACTCGCCTCTTCAAAAGAAACTTTTCATTTTCTAGAAAACATTTTCGTGTTTCGCAACATTGCTCATCTGACAAGTTCTTCCCTAATTGTTGCAGTAACGACGCCATGTATCTAAAGCTATTAATGAATGTCAGCTCAAGAAATTGTTCTTTCAGTGTACTAAATTCATCCTTTGTGGTACCCCTCAATAGATGTTTAATGAAAGCAAAGTAAGTTTCCTTTATTTGACTCAATACATCCACATTGTTTCCATTAGTGCATACCTCTCTCACGAACGAGTGTTTGTCATAGTCGCTCAAATTAGGGAAAATTATTGGAACATCTTTCCTTTCCCTCAGGTGACAATGATCTCTCACTCTAACATCACCGAATTTGAAGGAGTTTTCACAAATACCACAACTTTCGGCGGTTGAAAATTCATTCTCTTTGGAGTATTTACGGAAGATAGAGCTCCAGTCTGGTTACACATAATTTGGCAGCTTCCGCCCAACGAAAGAACAACGAATCTGGCATGAGAATGATTAAGGCTGATGAATAAATGATGTATTCGTTGAATAACGTCTTCGATTCGACTCATTTGTATGTGTGGGCTTTAGAATTGATTCAAAATTGGCATACACTACGAAGAAAACTTTCAAATACCCTTCAAAAATTTCAAATTTGAATATATTTTCTGGTACAGCCCTCCCACATTTATCAATTTTGACTTGTGTTATCGAAATGGTAGTAAGAATAAAATTACAATGTTGCAATACATTTTTGATGAAACTAGTTTTGAAAAGTATTGTATACATCAACAGTGGCTATTGCCACGGAGTTTCCACCGTGCATAATACAGGGGATCTATGATTTCATATTTCGTCCCTTCCAAGCATGGAAAATAAGAAATGAAACTCTTTATGTTTTTTTACCACTTTTATTTGTAACTAACGTTACTGCAGTTTTGTCCTGTGAGGACATTTTCAAATCAATACAATAAACTAGTTTGAAAATGTCCCAATAGAACGAAACTGTAAATGAAAATGATGAAAAAATACAGAAAGTTCCATTCTTCATTTTTCTTGATGATCTCCTACCACGAAGTGATGGCTACATCCATCAATTTATTATTTCTAACCCATTCACATCGACTGAATAATCATTCAATCACGTAAATTCATTCATCAGGATCAAGTACATCTCTTGAGGATATGATCCTACTTCAGAACTTCTCATTTTTGCAGGTCGCGGTGCTGATGTCACCGCCCAAGCGAAGCAGAACTGGTTTCCATTCCTCAAAATAAAAGCTGACCTTTCTAGAATCCAACCTATGAAAACATTATTCATGACTGGAAACTCATTGATTTATGTAGATTAAATACCTGTACCATCCTGAAATTCCACAGTTTCCACTGACAACGTGTCGACAAATGTTTTATGTACCTTCTCAAGGTCATTAGATTGATCAACAATTTGATTTTGTCTGTTGAAAGACTTCTCCTCTAATATTTTCTCCATCTGAAATATGTAGGTACTTCATGAACAGCTCCATGTTCACTTTCGGATCGTTATGAACTTGCACCACTCGATCAATCAAAGTCACCACTTTCTGCCTGACTCCACTGAAAAATAATTGATATTTAAAATTAGTATTCTTATTTTCGATAGATAACGATCCTATATTTGAATGCACTATTATAATTTTCACATTATTTTCAAATTCTGTACAGGAATTTATTATGTTCTCCAATGTTTTGAGATGTGAATTCATCCTATTCGCAGGCACCATTTTATCACAATAGTTGCACAATTCCTGAACTGCACTTGGTGGAGCAGAAATCACTCCTGAGTCGTTTTGCCGGGGGATCTACATCAGCAGCCGGCCTACGGAACTGCATTTGTTGACGACGCATATTATCTCTACGGTTCAAACATTAACCGCACCTATCACAGTGAAAAATATTTGTAGGATTATTTAGTATACGTGATATCATAATAACTGGTGTGAGCGAGGGGTCTGTTTTATACGTTCTTTCAAAGGGTTGGGAGGTGAAGAGGTTCCATATGTGCTCTCAAACTTACTTCAACGGAGACATGTGATATTGCAGATCAATCAAAGTAAAAAATACGCACTCCGAAAGGCTCCTCCTCCAAGCAGCTGAAGGTAGTTAAAATTCGAATCATTGAATATTCGTAATAACCTCCTGGCATGAATGAAGTTCTTTCGAAGTCAAAGTCACATGACTAGAAGCCAACTCGTCATACAGTTGAGGGTCGTTTAGGGCAGAATTATTAGAACTTCAAGATAGCCACGTGACTGGCTCGAGTCGAGTCGAAAATGTGAGTCATGAATCAGAGTCTTTAGAGGTCCAACCCAAAACACTACCTCTAAGTCACCTTGTCTGTATTGTGGTCAAAGTCGTTCAAGATCAGAATCAAAACATTTCCTCAGAGTCACCTTGACTACGTCGTGTAGGTATAGGTCGTTTTAATATTAAATATGGTAGGGGCAGGTTCCGAAATTGCCCTAAACCAATACATACATATCATACCTAACAAACCGAACGTCGTCGATTTGTTTATTGTTTCAATAATGATTCCACTATTTCCTGTGGAGATAAATCCAATAAATCATAAGTCACGAAAACATATATCAGTTTCAAATGGTGTAATGAACACAATTTTGAGACTTTGTTTTATATCTTAGAAGATGATTGCAGAATTGTTCGAGTGTTAAATATTGTTTAAATGGTTTCAATTGTCCTCTTCCCATTACCAGTTAATTTTTTTCATATTTTGTCCTTCAACAGACCAGATACGACATTTCCCTCATTATTCGATACTGAAACGACACTTGCAGATATCTGCTTCCATTCGATAATTTGATCATCTCCCTGATTGAATCTCGCTTCGAAATCCCATCACAAACAGGAATAATGGATGAACGAATCATTCTCGGCGAAGTCTCCATAAATAAACCATTTCTCGATCTATGGAAACGCTGCAGTTTCCGAGGCACTTTCATCGCTTTTTAATTTCTCCAACTCATCACTAGATACTGCACTTTCCATTCGAAACAAAAGACCGTTATCAACAATAATGGTTTTATAAATGGATTTTCACCAGCCATAAATGACCTAGCAAAGATACCAATGAAAGCGTTAGATTGCATTTTCTTCTATTCAAGACGATCGTTAGGTGTGCTTCGTGTTCCCTACGAAGTTTCTGCACGTATTTTCCGACCAGTCTCCTCATCGAAGGGAGGAAGAAGGAAGAGACGGGGCTGGTTTGGCAAACGACACTGTGTACATTCTTATCTCAACGGAAGGGGTGTAAAAAGTTTCGGTCGAGTCAGCGAGTCGGAGCTCGCATCCTATATTATGTGCATGTTCCTCTTTTTTCGTTGATCGTGTTTCATTTCTTTGAGGTGCCGGTAGTTTCCTTCAGATTCTGACATTCAAGATGTCGAATTGATTTTCCGGTCACTCCTTACACTGTGTCAAGAAATATATCTGTCTTCTATTGGTCGAACATTCTTTAAAAACTCAAAAACGTTCATTTGATGAAAATTCAACAAAATTATTCTTTGACAAATTATTGAAATAAAAATTTCACTTTCATATTATCGTCTCAGAAAATGGGACATTTCACCAATGTGAAGTAATGTATGGTATCAATGAAATCAAAGGTAACCGTAGTTTTTGCCACATGGTTTAAAATTTAACCCTTCCTGACATTGTGTGCAAAGATACTTTCATGAGTGCTTTAATGACTTTCATTAACACTTTTTCAAAATTTCTAATTCATACTAAAATATTTGTTAAAAAATTCCTGGATAACATAGACCGATCTGGCGTATTTCAATACCCGACTGGTCGAGTGGGCTGAAGTCGAAAACTGAGGGGTTAATCATGGCTTGCCAGAATGGTGTCTTCAACACCTTAGTCTACCGCAGTCGCGTGATGGATATAGAGGCCCGAGACCCTAATGCACTCGCTATCAGCATGTCCAGCATATGCTGTCTTGGCCTATATCCATCGACATAACGCGGCCCTAAGAGTGCCATGTTACTATCTACGGCACTCTTACGGTATTGGCGAGACACCGGTGTTTCCCTACCCTCCGGGGGATATTGAATCCGTTGTGAGGAACGAGAAGTGTCGAATTTATTGGAACTATTAGTACCCCACCCTCAGGCTCATACAAGCTTATAAGCCTGATGTAGTCCTTCTCGACCACCAGAGCAAGGCGATATTTGTTGTGGAGATTTCAGCTCCTGACGAGACGAATATCGTTCGAAAAGAGGAGGAAAAATGGATAAAATATTGAGATTTTCTCTTCGAACCCCGCAGACTCTATGCAGACCGCTCTGTCAAGATGGTTGTTCTGATTATTGGAGTGCTTGGTGGAATAATGCCCTCTCTACTCTCGAATCTTAAAATCATTCCGGTTTTCCACGCTACGTCAGAAATCTTAGCCGAACAGATGCAGAAGGCTGTCATTTTTGTCTCACTGCGCTTGCTCAGGGCACATGATTCTCGGATCCAATGATCACTTACCTCACGGTGTGAGGCGCGCCCTCCCGAACGTATCGGGATAGGGCCTAACCAGCGCATACTTCGGAAAAAAAATATGATTTACTGTCCAAAGAGAAATTCTCATCAACAAAGCTCAGTCAAGTACATGAAATCAGAGTACTCGTCAAATGAACAGTTGCCAAGATACGGACACTCGTTAGAAGTTATGTTAGTTATGAAGTAACATGTTTTAGTTATAAAGTGATATTATTCATTTAGATAAATCATGTCTCTTGAAAGAAATAACAAGAAACCTACCTCTAAATAGTTTTGCACCCTAAATACTGGACTATCAGAACCCTTCATCTTGGACAGCTTGGTCAGTCTTTGTTGATAAATACACGGCGAGCCGATCAATTGGCGTGTAGGATCATATTCACCAATAAATACGATGCCCCGGTCCCAAGGAAGTTATCGTTCACATTTATTTCGTCGATCTGAGATGAAATTTTTTTCACGGTCAAATAGACCATAACGGTATCCTACGTGTTGAGTTCTCTACCAGCAGCTCATAGCGTAGTTTTGAAATTCTTACTTGTGAGAATTGAATGAAAACCTGATTATTAGGTCTTCCTTACCCAAATATATAATTTTCCCGAAGATCATACCGTTAGAAAGAATTATTGATTTGAGGCCTCAATAGAAACCGAAGATTAGTTTTATGAATTATCTGAGTCTGAAATGCAAACGGTCAGAAGATACAAGCCAGTCATGAACAAGCCAAATTATGTTCAGAAGAACATCCATTTCCACAAATCAGTATAATCAATAGGATTGTTGATCTGTCATGACATTTTCTGCTCATTGATTATTACCTGCTGAATCGTTTACTACTTACTTCTTGAATTCAAGCCGGCATTTTTCCAAAAGTTTTCAGATTCAGTAACAAAGTGAATGACTGGCACTTTGATCTAAATTTTTGGTCTTGAAAGTCAGGTTGTCTATAAAATCGTACTTGTGAACTATACTGCAAACAATTTTCTGTTGACTAAAAGAAAATATTTCGTTTATTATGGAAGTTCGTAAGATTGAACAATGAACCTCAATATTCATGAGTGTAACTCTCGTCTTGAAAATCAGAAAATTCAAAAAAAAATGTTGATCATGCAATGAAAGTAATGTTTTTATTATACTAACGTCGCTCTTATGAATTTTGGTTGAAATGACCTTCACTCCATGAGATATGCTTATTTCAGAATATTTATTCAAAACCAATTCATTGATACAAAAAACTGAAATCCATGAAATTTTGTGAAGAAGTGAGTATAGGGTATTGACCAAAATTGATATCATGCGTTTCACAATGAAATATCTCATGTTTTTTTAAAACTTGAGGTTGTTATATTCCATTCAGTAACACCTCAAGAAGAATTGATCTACTACCTGAACATTGTTATAATAAGTGAGTATGGATCATCTGAATTTTCATTATTTTATTAAAAATATGACCGAATAGTAATTTAATTGAGAACATAATCTACATGGAAATTATGAATGAATAAAGCTCCAAGTTGAACGAATTTAAATAAAAACTCTATCCAATTTCGAGAGAAAATTTCTTGTATACTTTAATCGTTTCATAACGTAATTCTATGTAATTCAAAAAGGAAATCAGAAAAATGAAACCGACGAACTGAGAGCATTGCGACTGTTGTAACTCTCCTCATTTTTCCATTATTCAAATTGATATCAGAGCGGAAAACAAATCGCTATGCTCATATAATCCTTT